ATTTATTAATCATTATGGAAGGAAAAGACTGATAATAGACACAGCTATCATATTGATGATCCCACAGGATTATGAATAGGTCTGTTTTGTGTTCCCATTGTCTTGTTTCAAACTGTAGCTATGCTGGTCAAAATGGCTAGTTTGTTTTTTTTAATATATATTTTATTGATTATGCTATTACAGTTGTCCCATTCCCCCCCTTTTTTCCTTCAGCTCTGCATATCCCTTTCTCAACTGCATCTCCCCCTTTAGTTCATGTCCATGGGTCATACATATAAGTTCTTTGGTTTCTACATCTCCTATACTAAAAAGTTCCCCCTGTCTGTTTTCTACCTACCATTTATACTACTTATTCTCTGTACCTTTTCCCCTTCTCTCCCCTCCTACTCCCCTGCTGATAACCCTCTTATGTGATCTCCATTTCTGTGATTCTCTTCCTGTTCTAGTTGTTTGCTTAGTTTGTTTCTGTTTTAGGTTCAGCTGTTAATAGGTTAGCTGCGAGTTTGTTGTCATCTTACTATTCATATTTTTTATCTTCTTTTTCTTTAACAGTTCATATAGGAAGGATTTGGTGATGACGAACTCCTTTAACTTGACCTTATCTGGGAAGCACTTTATCTGCCCTTCCACAAAATGGCTGGTTTTTAATAATACTTTGCCCTACACTTTCTGGGTTCCTATTTTATATGATTAAAATATTATTGCATAGTGGGGAAACAGAGTAAGTACTCCATAAATGCTTATTTCATCTATGCCTCAGAAGTATGAGAAAGTCTCAGCATGAAGATAGCAATTACTACCATTCATTGGACATGTTTTTCTTTTATGAAAAATACTCAGGCACTTCTTCTCTGCCTAAGAAGGCACTGTTAATCCACTATCATCTACTGGGCCTTCTAGCTTTGCCAAAACTACAATAAGGGTGAGCCTTTTGTTTCAATGGAATGGCAGCTATTAAGGTTGAATGGCCTCTTCTGTCATCAGCATTAAGGTTCTTGACCATTAAAGTCCTCTTAAAGTTGTTTTCTTTTAAAAACATCATCAGTAATTTTAATAAAATAAAAAACAATGAAGCAATCTAAAATCTGTACTGATTTCTACTCTAGCAAAGGATCCAACACATAAGGTAAGCTAATGTAAATTCTTAATTCTTAAATCTCAAAGATTTGTTCATTTTCCTCTACCTCCTGAGTCTGCTATAGGCCTAGGGATATAGGGTAAGTACCCAAATAACAAATGCTCTAAACCATCTAAACTAGGCTCAGTGTAACTATCAGGACTTTAGGCAGAAATAAGGCCCCCAGGACCTATCCAAAAAAGAACCTGAATTTATCAGTCCTGAATCTATGTAAAACTCTCTAATGGGCTGTAGGCATTTTAGGGTGATTGTGGGCCAAGACAAATTGCCCTGGGCCTGCCAGACCCCAAATCTCCACCATCAGGTTTATCTCTAAGATCTGGGAATATGAACCTCAATATTTGTTGCCTATTGTCTCCTCAAGGACAAACCCAGGGCGGGCTTCAACAGTCTTGGAGTTTTGTTTAAGATAGCCATCTGGAATTACTCTTGTCATTAACTAACAGTTTAAAGTCATCCACTCTAACTCTCACTTCATTGCCCCAGTAGAAAACACTAACTCAAAGCAGCTTTATATGAAAGATTTTAGAACTGAGCAAAAAAGAAAGCAACAACAACAAAAAAAACTTCTAACATCAACATATATGTAGAGTGACAAAACTTCAAATATGAATTACTTCAGGAAAACATTTTTCAGAATGAAGACAAGACCAAATTGTTCTTTTGATAGTAAATTACTTTCATCACATAGGCTCACACTCAAAAGGAAGGGTAAAACCAAAATTCTACTTACTTTAAAGGATGCTAAAGCAAGGTTAACATATTTTCTTTAAAATGTCAAATAAAAATGGTACCTTGGGAACAAAGAACTATTAAATAGAACTATGAGGGGGCTTAAAAATATAATAACAATACAGGCTTAAATTTTTTAAGTATTTTTTATGTTTCACTTCTTGCAAGTTTGGCTGAAACCCACCCGCCCTTAAATTATCCTATATCTACATACATATATATGTATTTTTTTTCTCGTGGATCATAAGCCAGTAACCTCCCAGAAGTGAAGTACGGGTTATTCAATTGGATTCTTTGTTGGCACTCAGTCTCTGACACATTCTAAATAAGATTTATTTATGTTGACAAATAGCCCTTTTAAAAACAAATTCATCTTGCAAAGGTTAATTCGATTAAGCCTCAAGAAAGAGAGGGAGGAGGGAGTGATAAAAGAAAGAAGGGAGAAGAAATAATTTGAGAAATAAAGGCTATCTAGGACTATCAGAAGAGGACAGAAGATGATGAGGGAACCATGCTTTAAGTGAGGTAGGAAACGAACTGGGAAGTCTCAGACATAAGTAAATAAAATTAGAATAAAAGCCTCCACTGGAGACACTGGAGACTGTGTACAGTTCAGGAGATAAAAGCCATGCATGTTCTACCAGTGCCACAGACACTAGATTCAACAACTTATAGAGTATATCAGAATTGATATGCAGAATGCATTAAACAAACTTTACTCAAGATTTAAAGAGCTCCATTCCAAACAGTTTACTGAAGTCTCTTTACTCCAGTGTTTTTTTGTTGTTTTTTTTTAAAAAAACCTTTTGTCAAGTTTCCTATAAGGGTCTCCCAAGGACCACATTCAGGTGGCTGAAATAATTATAAAATCCACGTCTATCAATATTTAAAATGTGTGGCCCAAAATACACTCTAATTTAAAGTTCAATGTAAAGTTTTATTTATTTGTTGAATCCTCAGAGTCATTATTTCTTGGTCTTTTTGCCATGTTTTAACTAGCTATAAGGCAGAAAAGAGATTCTTTAAAATGAAAGGTTTCCTGCCAAAATGCTTTGCCACAAAGTAGGAAACAACTTCGACTAAAACACAGAACTTTGCTCCACTTTTATCCTCCACTCAGTAGTGAAACCATCATCTACTATACACCAAATGCTAGGAACTGAGGATGAAAAACTGAACAAAACAAAACAAACAAAAAATTGAACAAAACAGAATCCCCTGCCTTTGAGGAAATCGTTCGTAGTCATCTGACAGAAAAAGGCATATGAACAGATACTATTACCTGATTAAGTTTTAGAGTAAGAGATGTGAGCAGGGGCTTGCGAACCAAAGTGTCACAGGTTCGATTCCCAGCCAGGGTAAATTCCTGGGTTGCAGGCCATAACCCCCAGCAACTGCACATTGATGTTTCTCTCTCTCTCTCTCTCTATCTCCCTCTCTTCCCTCTCCAAAAATAAAGAAATAAAATCTTTTTAAAGAGAGATGCGAGCGGAACATTGCACAAATGAACTGGTTAAAAGCCACTAAGTCAGCCTGGAGGACTATACTAAGTTTGTTCAAGAGAATTTGACATTCAAATTCATCTGCAGTGAGGCAGTTAGGCTAGTCAATCTGTAAGGTCCCTTCTATTTAAAAAAGGGAGGGCAGAAAGTTGACAGTCACAGAGACCTTTTTTTGTCAAAAATGACTGGTGCAGGCAATTCCAGTTTGTTGGTTATTAATTTAATCTCTATCAGAAAAAAAATATTTATACAATCCTCATCTTCTCTCCTCAACTTACCTCTTTCTACATTCCTTTTCTCAGTAAACAGTAATACCACCTAATACTTAACCTTCCATAGCAAACTAATCACTAATTTATATTGATTTTACTCCATACTATCTCTTTGTTCTGTGTACTTTCCTATCTCCGATGGCCCCCATCATCTCCTACCACAGAGGCTTCCAATAGCCTCCAAGAGTGTTCTTGTCTCCGAGATCCTTTCTCTCAATCAACCAATTCTTCACACTGCAGCCAAACTGCTTTCCAAAACACAAATCTGATCATATGACAGCCCATATTAAAATCGTTCAACTGCCCCCTACTGCTCTCAGAAAAAAGTCCAAACCTGCCCTGACTGGTGTGGCTCAGTTGGTCGGGTGTCATCAGGAAAGCGAAAGGTCACCGGTATGATTCCCAGTGAGGGGCACATGCCTGGGTTGTGGGTTCAGTCCCTGGTTGGGGCACATGGCTAGGCTGTGGGTATGTCCCTAGTCGAGAGCATACAAGCATGAGAGGCAACTGATTGACGTTTCTCTTTCACATCAATGTTTCTCTCCCTTTCTTCCTCCCTTTCGTCCCTTTTCTCTCAAAATAAATAAAATCTTTTTTTTTTTTAAGTCCAAACTCTTCAGCATAGCTGTCAATCTCTGGCCTGGTTTGCCTCGTGCTACAATCTGTTATGCTCATATTGAACCTTTCAGAGTCTCTTCAATATACAGCGTCTCCTCACCATCCTCTGTAGAGCCTTCCAAGACTCCCTCAGAAAAGAACCAGGTGACCGTGCAAAATAATCTTGCAGCATCCTCTGCCTCTCCATTTCCATACTCACCACACTACATAGTATTGTCTTTCTCCCCCAGGAAGTTGTAAGTTCCTTAAGGACAGAAACTATCTTATACATTCTTGCATTTCCTATGTAAAGTATTACGCCTGCCTGTCACTGACATACAGTTCATGCTTGATACAAGATCTGTTGAATGCATGAATAAGTGAACAAACTGTAAAGAAGGAGAAATTCAATGTTCTACAATTTGTCATAACATGTATTGGCTATACTACAGACACCTAATCCTTTAGGCAAGGCCATATTTAAGCCATAAGCCTATCACAATAAACTCATAATTCAAATGAAGTTAAAAATGTATTTCCACTTTGGATAGTGTAAGCTTACTATTTAAGTCATTTTTCTGAGAGAATTACATATATATATATATATATATATATATATATATATATATCAGAATCATGATATGCTATGCATTTCTTGAAAAGTATAACTACATATGCATTATTACATTATTTTCACAGGTAAAATGTTGAGTTTTCTTTTTAAACATAAATGAAAGCTGCACTTCATTAATGACTCACCGATTCTTTTCCAGCTCATTGTGTGTAGACCTGAAAGGGAAAAAAAGAGCATTAGCCATGTTTTGTTGCCAGGGCTATAGAAAGGAGAATTAGTTTAGTTACTGCTATACCACATTCAGTGAATTTATTTAACAATGCAATATATGACCAGACTTCTATAATATTACTCATCAAGAATAGTCTACATTCATTAGGACTGTTCATCCAGATATAGTGTGTTTAGTTACCATATTTTTCAGGCTATAAAAGATGCACTTTCTGCCCAAATTTGGGAGGAAAATGGGGGTGCATCTTACAGTCCAAATGTAGCTCACCTGGCTCGCTGTGGTGGGGGTGGGGGAAGAATGGCAGTGGAGTGGGGTCACAGGTTATTAAATAATTTACCACATTTTTTGCTTTAAAGTTTTTTTTCCTATTTTCCTCCTCTAAAACCTAGGTGTGTCTTATGGTCCAATGCATCTTATAGTCCTAAAATTACAGCAATAACTGTAAATATTCTGAAACTGGAGTTTCATTGTTCTTTTACTAAAATTAATATTAGCACATGTTCTTTTGCCTGTTTCTAGTATTTCACATTTTGGTGATTTGTAGACATTACATCGAAAAATTTAATTCAAACAATCTCATTCTTGTTTAAAAATTTAAAAAAATGTATGTACTTCTATGTTCTCTTCCATCTCCACTTACTACTAAACACAGGGAGGGAAAAGTTTTAGCTAGTGTAGAAGCTGAAACAGCTTTGCCTTACTGCTAAGTAATACAGAAAAATTCAAGTCTTTCTGCCTTTTGTGTAAAATATAAACAAGAGAAAGTTATAAAAGAAATGAAAACAACATAAATATAAGATAATAAAATCAAGGAACACATTTTTTAAAAGAATGGGAGGACATGCCTCAAAATACTAACAATGATTATTTTCATGATTTTTTTCCTTTTGCTTTGTCAGTATTTGTTATAATAATACCACCTACTGAGGAAGCAAAGTGTCTGCTAATGAATGTACCAAGCAGTTAACATACATTATCTCATTTCATCCCCCAAACAGCCCTTGTTTTATAAACAAGATTACTGAGGTTCAGAGAGGTCAAGAGAGATGCTCTTGGCCCAAGAGTATAGGGAGCAGCCAAAGCCCAAGCTCTTAAACCACCTGCTGACAAGCAATACTGAAGAGAGGTTAAGGGCACAGATTCTAAGGCCAGACTTCCTGGGTTCAAACACTGTGTGGCCTCGTTAAAGTCCCTTCATTTCTCTGTGCTCAGTTTCCTCATCTATGAACTAGGAAAAATAACATTACTTCATATTACCACTATAGGAATAAACAAAGCCTACACTGAACAATAAAATATAACAAACTCTAAAGTTAGGTACTATTAGAATTGTGTTATACTAGTTCTCTTGAATAAACATATATTACTTTTACAATAATTTAGCATTAATAATATAGGAATTTTATAAAGAAAAATTTAAGTTCTTGTCAGCAGAACTAAAACTTTAACCATTTAATATAGTGTATCCTGGTTAATGTCAAAGGCCTTTAGAATATTACATTACTGATGGCTTCAATCTGATTTATAATTCCAGTGGATGTTTAAGAATCAAATTTCTAAATTTCAATAGTGTTTTTATCAATATCATAATTTTGTGGAAATTTTACCCACTGTGTTAGTTCAAGAGCCAAAAGGCTTCTCTGAGTTACTGTCCCCTATCCACCATTTGCTTTTTTGGCAATTTCATAAGGTCCAAGTGACACAGGATGAAAAAGACCGATGTTCATTTTCAAGAGATTATCTTAATAGAAGGACTTCTCACTCAAAGAAGGTTAAAAAAAATCTTACGATGCTTCTAGAGATCAGCCAAATGAAAGGCAAGTATATGTATAAGTCAGATGAAAGAAACTATAAAAACAGAACATTTAGTCTTACAGAGACTGAAGAGGTCAAAACCCAATCAGTAAATCTTATTACAACTAAATCTCTATTACCATATGTGTTTATAAAAAGTTTTCAGTTCTTTTTTATTTTACTGAAATGTCAAAGTAAATTAATAAGTTAAAAGAGGAAAACAAAAAATATCATTCAAAATTTGAATGGGTAATCAACAATAAAATTCCCCACTCACTATTAGTTTTGGTTTAACTGCCATTATCTGAGAAGAAAACTTAGAACAAGTAAAACAAAAGCAATGAAATACAAGAGTAAGTAATAAATGGAAACAATCTATTTAGAGAGAAGTAGACTATGTGCTATAAACCTATTCTGAACAGTCTGGCAGTCCAATATATGGCCATAAATATAAAAGATAATATACCCAAAGAAAACTAACTGTTGAATTACAATATTATATTGAGCCTATTATCAAAGAAGCACCAAAAGAACATAATCTGACCCCTTGCTATTAACAAAATTAAAACAGCAAGTTCTTCCAACCTCTCAGACTTTATCTTCTTTCTAAAAAATATAAAATAACTAAGAATATGAACTTTTTCACCAAACCAGGAAATACATGCCTTTTCTAGTTACACCACTAGTTAAGTTTAACAACATTTCCATATACCGAGAAGCAAAAATGATTATACATACGAATCTTTATCATACTGCCATGCTCTTCAGACTTTCAGAAAAAGCACCAATAGTATTTACTTATATTTTGATGGCTGTTTTTGCCTGTAATCTCAAATCAACAAATACTGAGTATCTTAAATGTTCAAGGCTGTCTTAGGCTGTGGGGAACAAAGAGAATCTCTAGTTGGTAAATTAAGGTATGTAGAGAAATAATAACTCAAGGTAAAATAAAAATATGAAGAAAGGTACAAAGTGCGGTGGGGATTTAAAGAAAGCAGCATTTACTTCCAAATGGGGTTATCCAAGTAAATTTTAGAAAAAGGTGGCATTTAGTATGGGGCTTAAGTGATGAGTACATATGTGACTAGTGGAGGCTGGACCTGGTAGAGTTTGGATATTCCAACTAGAAAGAATAGCATAAGCAAGGTCCATGGTATTAGAGGGAAAAATTCTGAATTTAAATATTAACTCTCTCACACTGTGTAACTTTGGACAAATTCTAACTTCTCTGATTAACAGTTTCTTCATTTGTGAAACTGGAATAAAATCACATGCCTTGGCTGGGTTACTGTGAGAATTAAGAGAGAAATAGGTAAAAGCATCCAGCATGTAATAAGTGCTTGGTAAATGTTAGCCACTGCAAATATTCTTATTATTTTAAATAAGTATTAGTAAGTATCCTATGTGGGACAAATTGAGAGGCTCTGAATAATACCTGGAATTAACCTGGAAATAAACAAACAACCATAATGATGAAAAATGAAACTGAAAGAGAAGATTGGTATTTTCATTATTTAGCCAGCTATGAGGGCAGTACAAGATTTAGAGTATGACAGAAAGATGCCTAACTGTATGTACACAGAGAAAATAATAATCCACATAGTGCTGGCACCACATGAGTAACTGAACTGATCACGTACTAGCACACTCAGAAGCAACTTTGCTCTTCTGAGCCTATGTGTCTAACCAAGCCCTTCCAATAATGTGCCACTGAAATATACAATTATGATCATTTCCCTGTAAGACTGAGATGTTCTGAATAATCCATCTAGTTAACCCACTCTTCTTCTGCAAATAAAATACACCTCTGAAAGCAAACACTAATGAACTTTCTTTCAGACACTCAGTCTTTTTTTCCTTACTCTGAATGCTCGACAGCTTCAAAGGACAGAGAGGACATTTCTACCATTTTATCATGGAATCACAGGTGATCTTCTTCACCAATAACATCCCTCTAAGAGAGACATGCTAGCGCATTCCCTATGTGACTGGGAGTCATTAATCCCAATTAGATCCATGGCTTTCCACTGACTACAACACAGCTATAATACATAAACTTTTTAATTCTTTCAGATGCAGTTTGGTGACAGCCAATGTAAAGAAGCATGGAGTTGAAACTGCACAAAATAGTTAAGAGTAGTGCCACCATGGAAGGAAAACAAAAGCTCCCATTCCTAGAATTAACATTCACTTCTAGAAAAAGAAAAGACCACTATTTTCGATGAATTAATGAGCCAACTCCCAATTCATTAACCTTTTTGTTTCACTTACTTCCTAATCCTAAAGTGCCTAATGAATGTAGTCCTCCACACAATGAAAATCACACATTCAGTGAAGCTAAATGAGTATCTCCTAACTGTGTTCTAAAGCTTTTACTTCATATATACATACTCAGAAAGCAAGAAAAGCAGAAAACTTCACCTACATTAGCGAAAGGGTCTGTGAAGTAAATACCTGAAGATTAAAAATAATTAGGAGAATAGTAAAACTTCTATTTAAATTTATTATTCTTCCAAACTTTATCATGTATTTATAAAATATTAGTATAGTAATATATGTATATAATTATAAATATATATACATATATTAGAAATACAAACTATTTTAACTGCTAGTGGTACAATAAAGTAGTCAATAGAGTTTGAAGAACACTGTAACAGAAGAAAATCACACTTATTGCCAGTACAGTAATTCTTTCAAAAAGGTAGTTTTGTACATGTTTCTATCAAAGGTACATATTTCTAAGCTGAATTTATTGGAGTGACATTGGTACACAAAACCATACAGGTTTCAAGTATACAACTCAACAAAATATATGCACACTGCATTGTGAGCCCATTGCCCCAAAGTGTCTTTCTGCCCCCATCCCCCTCTTTGTCCACCTCCACCTAGCCCCAACACCCCTTTCCCTCTGGCTATCACCAAAAGGTATACGTTTTTTAAAAATCATCAAAGACAGTAAAACTTGAATATTGCAGACTTTTAGAAAAAAATGCATCATAAAAATTGATTTTTTAAAAAATGTTTACTGATTTTAGAAAAAGAAACATCAATGTGAGAAAGGAATATTGATTAGTTGTCTCCCACACACACCCTGACAAGGGTATCAAACCCACAACCTAGGTATGTGTCCTGACTGGGAATCCAAACCTCGCCTTTTGCATATGGAACGCCTCTCCAACCAAGCCT